ATGCCCAGTGAGGCGGCGCCCGGACCGAGCCCTCTGCGCAGACTCCGGTCTGGGCTGCGGCCCGGGCCCTGCCTCGCTGTCCGCGTGCTTTGGCTTCCTCGCGTCGGTCCTGGGATCCTGCCTCCGCAGGCTCTTCTGGAGGGTACAAGCCGGGCCGCGCCCTCCCAGCCTGGCTCTCGGGCTCTGTGCCTCAGTTTACCAAATGTCAGCCCCTCGGGAGAGATGTGGAGGCATGGACGGGTCTTGAGGGCAGGCGGCGGGTGCGCCCAGTAAACGTGTTCCTGGTGCCCACTCCGGGGTTGCCGCGCGCTGAGCATAGGCCGCTACCGCATGGCAGGGCCTGCGGGCTCAGCTGGGCACCGTTCGGATGCCATGCGTGAGCGAATGGCCCTGGGTCAGCACCTAGTGCCAGTGGCAGGCAACGGCCGTCCAGGGCCCCTCGGGTGCTTCTTGGTCACCAAGACCAGGACGCACCGCAGCTACCGGGCCTTGGCAGCCACGCCCAGTCTCGGTTGTTACTCAGTGAGCACATGGGTACCAGGCACTGTTTGGTGTTATGCAGACATTCTTAAGGGTTTAATTGTGTCCCCCTCCCCCAAAAAGATGTGTTGGAATCAATCCCCAGTACTCAGGATGTGACCTTATGTAGAGATAGGAGGCAACAAGTTAAAAGATCATGAGGGCAGGCCCTAATCCGGTGTGACCGGTGTCATAAGCAGAAGGACATGCGAAGACAGGGAGAGCCCCACTGAGGGTGAAGATGGGAGGGATGCATCTACAGGCCAGGGAACACCTGAGACTGCCAGCAGCTGGAGGAGAGGCAGGCGACCCATCCTTGCCCAGAGCCTTCCGAGGGAGCCTGGTCCTGCCCACACCTGCACTCCAGACTTCTGCCTCCCAGAAGTGGGACCCCCAATGCATGTTGTTTCCAGCCCTCCAGCTTGTGGTACTTTTTATGGCAGCCTTGGGAAAGAAGACAGACTCCTGTATCCAACTTGATCGGCCTGATGACCTGGGAGTGTCATCTCCTGAGGCTTCTGGGTGTTCACACGCCCTTTGGCAATTTCAGGGGGCCCGTCCCAGGTCTGCATGCCCGAAGCTGCCACGCCATGGGCCTCCTAGGTTCCGTGTCCTTAGTAGGAAGGAAATCTTCGTCTTCCCGATCGTGTACAACTCCTCTGTTGGGATTTGGCCAAAAGCCACACCTTGGTATTCACGACTCACCTGATCCAATGCATGAGCATCAGTAATAAAACCTTGTTCAGAGGACCTCAGCAGTGTTTTGTGATGAGCCCCAGTAACTCTGAAAAGGCTGCACTGCGGGTCCTCTCGGCCCCTCACCCCCACCCCAGGCCGTACCTTGGTTGAGACATGTTTGGAGTAGGTGTAGATGGAAAATGAACGAAGTGAGCACTGGGTACACAGCGGTGATCAAATCGAGGCCCTTCTTCTCCAGTAGCCGGGACACAGCTCAGAATTCCCTCAGCACGGCTCCGGACAGCCATAGCTTTGAAGGTAAAGTGGCAGAAGAGAAAAACACCTTTGCTGTTTGTTCCAGTCTTCTGTATTAGCTCACTGTGAAATTTCGGAAACTTTTATCTACCCTAATCCTTAATTTCATCATCTGTAAAAGGTTTTTACAATAATCTACTCTGTGTAGGGCGTGCATATAGGGGTAGTGAACATCAAGGACAGCAATACACCTGTCTTCTAGTCTGTTACTGCTGGGGCCCAACCAGAACCGGGGCCCCGACAGAACAGAAAAGGGAAAATAACACCGAAATTGAATCCGGATGTCTGCCGGTCCCCTGACGTATATGTTGCTACGTAGTTTCACAATTAACGCATAAATCCTACTTTTCTTTTTATCTGAACTGTACTTTAATATGAACTCCTAAGCTATTAGTAAGAAGAGACTAGCTAGTGTTAGCATCTCTGATTCCCACCCCAGGAAAGAAAGGCCAGGATGGTGATCCAGCGCCCCTTTCTGCAGATTATGTGGCATTGGGGAGGGTGGATAAGGGAGAAAAGGGTGTGCCCTTCAGGGGAGCTTCGTGGACCTGGCTCTGCTGGCAGGACGCAGTCGCCCTTGCAGGGGAGGTCGCGGGATGCGGCAGCGGCCTGCACGGGGAGGGGGTGCTCCAAGGTCAGGAGCCAGGGACGGCCCCGCCCAAGGCTAAGAGTGAAGTGCGCTACCTCGGACTCTCCAGTGAGTGGGACTGAAATCCACACTCCCAGCACCTGCTGGCAGGTTCTCCCCTGCTTGGCGATAATTTCCAAAAACTCATCATTTTCTGAGGTCCCCCATGCTTGTCCCATCACACCACACCCTCCCCCACGTGCACCTCCTGTTGTTAAAGGAACACAAGCATGGCGCCCCATGGGAGAGCTGGCTGGGTGTGCAAGGAGCGCGCGGCCACGCTGCGGGACTGCGGCCGCCGGCCTCGCGCTGTGCAAGCCACGCCCCCCGACTTCTCCGTCTGCAGGATGACGGCGTCGCACCACGTGGCCGAGGTTCCTCCGGGGTTCCCCATCTTCGGGTTGATACGTCGTACCGCGGTCTTCTCCCGACGCAGGTTCCCATGGACGGCGCTTTACGGAAGGGGCGGAGAACCACAGGGACGCACGCCCATCTTCACGCCGAGGCCTCCGCGGCCCCGCACGTGGCCTTGAGATCAGCCGGCTCCCCTTGGGCTCTGGGGACAATGTCAATTTGCATCGCTTTTTTAAACGTCCAAACGGGTGCCTTTCGGGTTAAACAAATGAGCATGACGCGCGATCGCTTCCAGTGATTTGCAACCCAAGAAATGCATTTAGGAAGCCTCGGTTCCAAGCCGCTTCTGTGACACGAGAGACCCCTTACAGCAAGCTGGCTCTAACAGCCAAACTTAATCCCCCGCCCTGCCTCTGGGGAAAAGAGGGCATTTTACGAGGATCACACGAAACCTGGTGTGGTGTGAAAGCCCCACGCTCGGGACAAACGTGCACAGACGTGCAAGGGTCGGTGACAAGGAAGCATGGCAGGGAGCGCGCCCCTCGCGGTGTCTTTCCGGATGGTGGATGGCGTCTTTTCTCCAGCGGCGAGCTCCCCCAGCAGCACAAATGATTTTCTCAGCCCCATGTTCCCGGAAAGGTTGGAGCCCAGAGCCGGCCAGAGTCAGCACCTTGGACTTGGGTGGGGCGCCCAGAGGGGTCTGGAGGAGGGAGCCAGGGGCCAGGACCAGGGCTGGGCTCTCCGGTCACACTAGTTCTCAGCGTAGCTGGAGCCACAGCGGTGCATTTGCAGGCAGGAGCGTCCTCTGCAAGTGAGCAAGGGAGAGGGCGGGAAGGAAGGGCTTCCGGCCCCACCCTCAGGGCGAGGGGGACGGGGCGAGGGGAAGGGGACAGGGCGAGGGGAAGGGTGCTGGGTGGAGAAATGAGGGAGGTGTGCCATCCGCGGGGAGGGATGCATGCTTAGCTCTTGGATGCCTACAAAGACATAAGCACCCCTCCTCCTGGGAGCCCCTGGGTGCCGTGAGGATACCTGGGCCCCCCTTCACTCAGAAGACTTTTGCTGGGCCCTGCTTATGCTGGCCGGGTTGGTGCAGGGGCTAGAGATGCCGCATTAAATGGGACTTGTCGCAGTCCCCATGACACTCACATCGGCGTGGAGTAGACGGGTAAGGAAGCGGGGTTTGCAGTCTGGAACAGTGAGCGTCCCTGGGGGATGCACCGGGGGCAGTGGAGGTGCGGCGAGGATGCCTTCAACTAGCCCCTTTCCCAGGCCCCGCGAGCCGGATGCTCTGGCGGCCCCACGTGGAGCAGAGCTGGTGGCAGCCGGGATACCTGCCGGGGCCGCAGGGACGAAGCAGGGGAGGCCTGAGAGACAAAACAAGCAGGGCCGGCTCGGGTGGAGACCGCGCTACTTGTGCACGTGGGTTCAGTCGTCCAGGACGGACAAAGACCATCCCGAATCTTACACAGATAGCTCTTCCTTCTAAAACGCGGTGACTTTAGAGAGCTGGATCTCCAGAGATGTGCATAATCCACGTAAACAGGTGAGTAAGAGTCCACCTTCCGGCGCGTGTGTGTTTGGGTAGATGAGCTGAGAGGGCTCCGCACAGACGCTTGTGGGGAGCGGGTGTCACTCAGGACCGGCGTTTGGTCGGATGCTGGCCTTTTCGAAAGCGGCTCCTACACTCATTACAAAGTGTTTCTGATCCATTTTCGGGAAGGGCTTTGTTGCTAACACACCGTTGGCAGTTGGGGCAGAGTCTTTTAAGTGGTGTGAAGTGCTGGGGAGGGTGCGCCAGGGCGCCAGGAGGAAGTGGGTGTCCCCGCCACCTCCACCTTCTGGAAGGAGTCAGAAGAGCCTGGTTTTCAGAGAGTTGGAAATGAAGGCAGGAGACCGGGGGATTTTGATGCTGAGGCTGTGATTGGTCCTCCTTCACTCCACCTGGGAAGCTACAAATGAGAATTAAGATGGGAAAACCAGCCATGCCGAGTGCTCTGCCTCGGCCTCCAAAACATCAATCTGGAAAGAACAGTGGTCGTGGCCCCTCTGAGGGGACTTTTCAGTCTCGCCCTAGTGCCCTGAGCCATTGATTTAAAATAACACAAGGCAAAAATGGGAACAGTGGAAAGCACATGAGCGGCAAAATTGGTGGCAGCGATGCTGCGGTGGCCATCTGTGCGATCGTCCCATTGTCCGTTAGCGCGAGATCGCCCCGTTTAATCCCGGGAGGCAAGAATGC